GGAGGAGGAGGAGGAGGAGGGAGGAGAGGAAGGAGGAGGAGGAGGAGGGCGGAGGAGGAGGGAGGAGGAGGAGGAGGGAGGAGGAGGAGGCGGAGGAGGAGGAGGAGGAGGAGGAGGAGGAGGAGGAGGAGGAGGGGACGAGGACGAGGACGAGGACGAGGACGGAGGAGCGAGGCGGGAGGAAGGAGAAAAAGAGGAGGAAAGGTGTAGGAGGAAGGAGAAAGAGGACGGGGAGGGAGGGGGAGGGGGAGGAGGAGGGGAGGAGGAGGGGGAGGGGAGAGGAGGAGGAGGAGGAGGAGGAGGAGGAGGGGAGGAGGAGGAGGAGGGGAGGAGGAGGGGGAGTGGAAGGGAGGGGAGGAGGAGGAGGGAGGAGGAGGAGGAGGAGGAGGAGGGGGGCGACGAGGACGAGGACGAGGACGAGGACGAGGACGAGGACGAGGAGGAGGAGGAGGAGGAGGAGGAGGAGGAGGAGGAGGGTTCGGACCTCGCCGCCGACGCGTTGCGCTGGAGGCATCCGGGCATTCGAACCCAGACTTCCTCGAGGCATGACAACATCACGACGGGAGGTTTTTCACCATTCTCGGCCTCTGCGGGCCCCTATACCGAGCCTCGGGGCCGTCGACAAAAAATACGACTCAGGAGGAAAGACCGGTCCGCGGGAATGCGTCCAGGCCTCTGGGGGTCGACGCAATGAAAAGATCTTGGCGTTTGGGGTCTGGGAAGTTGGAGGGTTCCCCTCACCTCCCCTCCGCCCCCGCCCCATGCCCCTCCCTCATTGCCCCCCTCCCCCCTTCCCCTCCCCTCTCCCCTCCCCTGTCAGGGAGCAGCAAGCTCTCATCCTGAGAGGCGCGCCCCCCCCCTCCCCCGCTGTGAGCTTAATTCCCCCTCTCGGACCGCCCCTTCAAGGGCACACGACGGTCGTCAAAAGTAGGTGCTTCTTCTCAGATCCCCAGATCCCAATCTATTGTAGGCGCCTCCCTACTTCAGTCATCGAGTGTTTTCACCTCTTCCTTTCTCTTCAGAGGGCGGGCGGGAGTCCAATTTATTTCCAACGCCTTCCCACTTCACGTATGTTACCCACTTCTTCCGACCACCTGTACTGAGCCTCCTAATCCCCGCCGTCTCCTTCACCTCTTCCTCTTCCTCCCTCTTCTGAAACTCCCCCTCCTCCTCCCCGTCCTCCTCGACCTCCTCCTTCCCCCCTCCTCCTCCTCCTCCTCCTCCTCCTCCTCCTCCTCCTCCTCCTCCTCCTCCTCCTAGCGCCGCCGTTCTTGCTCCTCCGCCGCGCGCGCGCGTCCCGAGGTGACACACTAACATGTACGGCATTTACTCTCACTAGTTTGTGGCTGCTGGCTAGCAGCGATGGTTTATCTTCTTGCAATTCTCTCTTTCAATTGCCTATATGGATCGAATGCGCGTTTGGAGGACATAGCAGCAGAGGCCAGCAATTTTGGCATGATAGGACTGCAAGGGACATGCAGCAAAGCGTTCATGGGGGAGTCTTATCGAATAACCAGGATATTGAATCGAGTAGCAGTGGTTGCTGGCTGGAAGCAGAGTCGAGTTAGCAACAAAAGCGCTGGATGTACCTTCATGTTGCCCCCAAGATGGCCGCAGAAATGTATACGGAGAATTGACACGCCACCTGCTCAACTGCAAGGGCGCGGTCTGGGGGTATACTTCAGATTCAGAGGCATGGCTTTTTACGCGATGACACTGTACTATCCACCGAAGCCGTCGGACAGAAGATCTATGCCCAACTACTTATCGTGCTGCGAAAAACTGACGAGATGGGCATCGAATGCAGTTGGTAAGGCTCCACATTCGGCCATCCCCTTCATCATGACGGACGTGAACGACGGTATGGGACTCTCAAAGCAGACTGGACAATGGGAGAACGTCGGCGAGCAGGCCATTGGTCTTGGAGTCACACACGAGCGTCACGTATGGGGAGCAGGGCATAGACTACGAGAGCTCATGGAAGAACACGGAATGTTTTCAACTACATCGTACCAGAAAGTTGCAGCGACTTTCTATGACGCGCATGGCAACACCAGTATGATAGATCATGTCATTGTTCCCCTATCAGTCGCAGCCAGAGTGCGAACCCAGGGACCGCTGAAGCGCATGGGCACCAAACTACAACATATACCCGTTGCTGGACATCGGGATCACCTACCTGTGCATGCCCGTATCTCCCTCAACATTGATACGGATGACGAGGTGCCTTCGCCATGGCGTGCCCCTGACGGTGCTGAGTACGAGGAGGTGAAATGGGACAAAGACAAATTGATGGCAGCACTTCGGGGGTCTCGAGAGCGATATGACTTTGTAGTTGCTGTTGAGTCGAAGTTAGCGGAGCTGAATCTAGACAATCATGCTGGAGACACTCCTGAAGAGCTTCTCAAGACCTTGGACACCGTGATGCGAGAGGCTGGCAAGAACATCTTCGAACGAGACGACAAGCCACAGGCAGACGATGACAAGCAGGAGCGTCTTCAGCTACTGGCTCAGCGGCGTGAACTTCGTTTACAACTTCATGATTGTGACCCAGAGGAGCTCGAGGCATGCAACGCCGCGCTCAAGGCTGCCACACAGAAGTGCCACAAGCAGCGCAAGATGAGCTACGCACGCAAACAGGAGGCGCTGGTCGAGGAGATATACGAGGCTTGGAGGCGGCGCAACTTGGCTGAGGTGCACCGTCTGAGCTTGCGCCTCGCGGGCGGTCGCTTCGGCAGCGGCAAACGCGACTTCTCGCGCCTGCAGGGCGCACTGCCGACCGAGGACGAATGGCTGGAGGCCTGGTCCAAGCCTGGAGGGGAGGGTGGGATGTTGGCGTCGAGGTTGGAGTGGGGTGACTTGGTTAGGGGAAGGGAATACTTTCGACGGCCGGCTGCTCCGTCGATGTTTCGGCAGGAACGCATCGACCAATCATACAAGGATGCCATGGGAGACCTGGCTTCGTTTCAAGGATATTTAAAAACAGCTTTTAAAAGAAAGGGAGTCCCGCGGTGGTCCTTACCTGTGGAGTTGTGGGGGTTGGGGGCCGGTGAGCCTCCTGAGGAGGACCCTCGTCGTTGCGCTGGACTTGGCTCGAAACTCCCTGCGGTGTGGGGTGAACAAGTTAGAAGCTGGCTAATTCGAGTCTTCTTCCTTATTCGGCAGTCTGGTCTTCTCCCAAGTTTGTGGTCCTGCAGTCAGGGATTTGCTCTGCAGAAGAGCGCGCTGCCAGGCCCTGCTGGGCGTCGGGTGGTGCGCGGCCTCGACCCGCTCGGCAAGGCCTTTTTGAAGCGTGTGATGAAACGAGGACCACCTTATCAGCATTCAGAGATGGACCACGGTTTTTTGCGCCGTAGGAGAAGGGAAGATGCGATCGCCGCCAACCTTTGCACCTCTTGGCGACTGAACAAAGCAGGACTGTACTGGATAGACTCACTCAAGGATTTAAGTAATGCCTTTGCGTCTCCCGCGTGGCCAGCAGTTGATGAGGCGGCTCAGGAGATGGCCATGGGACGGGAGACGAGCTATTGCCAGCAGAGATATAGGCTAGCCTGCACCAGCATCCCAGCGGAAGGAGGTGATCTTCTGCTGAAAACTGGGTGCGGAATGCTCCAGGGGGATCCTTTCGCTGTGTTGTCGTTTGTTCACGTGTTTCGTACTCCCGTCGACCGTTGGATTGTGAATTGCCGCGAACAGGATCCCCAGGAGAAAGATTTAGAAGCTATATGTGAAGTTTTAAACCCGCCCAGAGTATACTTGGGCCTCACCAAGTTTGCCGACGATCTTTTAAAAAAGCTGGTCCTCGGTCCGCGTTTCTCTATGGATCGGGCCAGATACATTGTGCAGAAGAATGATGCTGATGCTTGGAGAAGAAGGCCTCAGCCAAGCGTAGAGAGTAGCTAGCATGTTGCGAGAGCATGGAATGTAGTTGTGGGGAGGCCGTCAGATACTTAGGCCCCCGACTGACCCCCACTCAATCTTTCCAAATCGAGCTTGGGAAACGGGTCCAGGCCGCGAAGACGGCCTATTTTAGAATGGGGCGTTTCTGGCAGGCGCCAAACATACCTTATAAATGGAAACGCTGTGTGTTGCTATGCCATGTGGTTAATTCCGCCCTTTCGGCGGTCGAATGTTTTATTCCAAGCACGGGTCAGCTTCGCAAGTTGGAGCTTGCGGTGGCTGGACTGTGTCGCAGAGCGATGAGAGGAAAAGCGAGCTGGGAAGATGCGCGCCATGTCCGCTCGCTGTCCTCCCAGCAGGTGCTTGAGTATTGGAAAATCATCCCGCTCTGTGTTGAGCTTAGAGTCCGACGGCTGAAGTGGTTTCAAGGTATTTGCTCTTCCCCAGAATCTCACCGCCAGCTGATTGCTGCGTGGTTCGGGGTCTTCCTTGGAGAGGATGTGTTCGGCGAGTTTGCTTCAATTCGCCCTGATGCTAATCCGTGGGCTTTGAGAGTCCAGGCAGACATCGAGCAGCTTGTGCTAGTGTCTGAAGAAGCTGCTGACATCTGGTCCGATTGTAGAGGTCGGGTGAAAAGGTTATTTGAGCCTGAATTCGCTGCGCGATTCCGTCGAGTAGATATAAATATTCTCAGGGGTGAAGCCCTCAGCGTGAATATCTCCCCTGGCTCCCTTGGTGCCCCGCCTCCTCTTCCGCCAGGGAGGCTGCGGGGAATTGGGTCACCGCGAGAGGAGCCCCCCGAGGTTGCGGAAGCGGGAGCCCTTCTCACCGAACGCCTTCACACGTGCCCTTGGGTAGATGACTCGGGCCCCTGCGGAGCCACTTTCAGTAGTAGATCTGGTGTAGCGAATCACATCCGCATTGTACATAATAGTGTTAAACTCTCTCATGCTCTCACGCTCACAAACCAATGTATACTATGCGGGGAAGTCTTTGGTGAAAGGCTGACAGCATGTAAACATCTCGAGGGATCCCTACTACACGGACGATGTCTTCGAAACAAAGCGAACACGCTATCCGAGATCGAAGTTCCCGCGGAG